TTGAAGTTGGCGGAGTGGCTCCCAGGGGAAGATCTCATGAGGATACCGTCTGGAACATAAGCGGAAGACGCAGGGGAAAAATTTCAGGGCGAAGGGGGAGGGGGGGGTCTTGGGCTCTAACTTCGAAGGAGCCTAACTTTGAAGGAGCAGCTACTGAGGACTAGCGACGGGCGGGCAGCTGTTGGGTACAGCCAGGGCGGCCTGTGCGATCGCGAGGCGGCGGCCCAATGGCTCACTGCGCACACAGCGGTGCACTCTACTCATGCTTGTGCACGAGTCACTCTCTACGTCACTCTCAGGCGCGGCCTGCGCGGTTGCGAAGGGAGCTGCGAAGGTACATCTCTCCCCCTATCTCCCCCTATCTCCCCCTATCTCCCCCTATCTCCCCCTATCTCCCCCTATCTCCCCCTATCTCCCCCTATCTCCGGCCTGCGCGATGGCGAAGGGAGCCGCGAGGTACCAGAACCACTGGACGGGGTAGCCCAGGTAGACCTAAGGGAAGCGGGGGGAAGGTAGGCGTCTCCACACACACGCAAGGTGGTGGTGGAAAGGGGCTGGGGGAGACCTCTGCGCCGAAGCCGTCGGGCAGCAGCGACTCGGGCGCGTACACCGTCAGCGAGAGCGGGACGACGCACTGCGAGAGCATTCGAGACTCCGATCAGAGGTATGCATGTATGCCGTGTGGTTGAGCATGCAACGGCAGAGCGGACGGCCTGCTGCCCGCACGACCAGAGCACCTCCTGCCGCGGCGCGTGGACAAGCAGCTGCGGGAAGAAGTTTGCGAGCAGGCGCACCTGAGGCGGATTTCTTTTTCTAATCGCTCGAGAGGAGCCGAGAGGAGCCGAGGCCAGGTGGTGTTCGCGGCATCATGAGTAGCAGCGGCAGCGGCGTGCTCACAAGCATCGCCTCACCGCAGTGACCGGCACTGTGTTGCAGTGTGCTCACAAGGACTATCAGCATGCTATGAGCAGGCGCACCGCCGTGATTTGGGGAGATGTGGGGAGATGTGGGGAGATGTGGGGAGATGTGGGGAGAGATGGGGAGAGATGGGGAGAGATGGGGAGAGATGGGGAGAGATGGGGAGAGATGGGGAGAGATGGGGAGAGATGGGGAGAGATGGGGAGAGATGGGGAGATGGGCGCACAGCAGTGACCCCCGAGAGGAGCCCCGTGGCCGCGAGAGCGACCGGCAGCATCAGCCGGGAGAGGAGCATCGCCTATTCACAGCTGCAAGTGTGAAGAGACGCGGTGCACAGCTATGGGGCAGCATCCGCCGGGAGAGGGGCATCGCCTGTTCACAGCTGCAGGTGTGAAGAGACGCTGTTCACAGCTACGGGGCAGCATCAGCCGGGAGAGGGGCATCGCCAGCCCGATGACGAGGAGCGTCAGGTAGAGCGCTCCTAGTGTCGTGATACGGGGAGATATGGGGAGATGTGGGGAGATGTGGGGAGATGTGGGGAGATGTGGGGAGATGTGGGGAGATGTGGGGAGATATGTGTAATGAGTAGTCCGGTGTGTCGTGACTAGTCCTGCGGTCTGTGGTGGAGGGAGCGGCCCAGGGAGCAGCGTCTAGGTGTAGACGCGCTCCTCCGCAGGTCCGGTCGTGATACGGGGAGATGTAGATGCAGATGTGGGGAGATGTGGGGAGATATGGGCGCTCCTCCGCAGGTCAGGTCGAGCTCGATATCTCCCCCATATCTCCCCCATATCTCCCCCGTGTCCCCTACCCCTCGCCCCACCTCCGCAGGTCAGGTCGAGCTCGATATCTCCCCATATCTCCCCCATATCTCCCCCATATCTCCCCCATATCTCCCCCGTGTCCCCGACCCCTCGCCCCACCTCCGCAGGTCAGGTCGAGCTCGATATCTCCCCATATCTCCCCCATATCTCCCCCATATCTCCCCCACCTCCGCAGGTCAGGTCGAGCGGAAACTTGTACTCGGCGCCGTGCACGACAGGGTCGGCGGTGCGGTTGCCCCACCAGGCCGTCGTTCCCCACGTCGTCACGAGCTCCACCTGAGCAGTTATGGGGGAGATATGGGGGAGATATGGGGGAGATATGGGGGAGATATGGGGGAGATATGGGGGAGATATCGAGCTCCACCTGAGCAGTTGTGGGGGAGATATGGGGGAGATATGGGGGAGATATGGGGGAGATATCGAGCTCCACCTGAGCAGCTATGGCGACGGAGTCACTACGAAATGGAGGGGCGCCCCGGGTCGTCTCCCGCTCCGCGGCTCGCTCGTTCACTAGTCGCTAAGGAGCTACAGTCGTGGGAGGCAGATGTGGGAGGCAGATGTGGCGGTCGGATCGATCACGCGCGGCTCGCTCGTTCACTAGTCGCTAAGGAGCTACAGTCGTGGGAGGCAGATGTGGGAGGCAGATGTGGCGGTCGGATCGATCACGCGCGGCTCGCTCGTTCACTAGTCGCTAAGGAGCTACAGTCGTGGGAGGCAGATGTGGGAGGCAGATGTGGCGGTCGGATCGATCACGCGCGGCTCGCTCGTTACCTAGTCGCTAAGGAGCTACAGTCGTGGGAGGCAGATGTGGGAGGCAGATGTGGCGGTCGGATCGATCACGCGCGGCTCGTTCGTTACCTAGTCGCTAAGGAGCTACAGTCGTGGGAGGCAGATGTGGGAGGCAGATGTGGCGGTCGGATCGATCACGCGCGGCTCGCTCGTTCACTAGTCGCTAAGGAGCTACAGTCGTGGGAGGCAGATGTGGGAGGCAGATGTGGCGGTCGGATCGATCACGCGCGGCTCGTTCGTTACCTAGTCGCTAAGGAGCTACAGTCGTGGGAGGCAGATGTGGGAGGCAGATGTGGCGGTCGGATCGATCACGCGGCTCGCTCGTTCGTTAACTAGTCGCCACTGCGGCACCTCGAGGTGCTCGGAGGCGAGTAGTAGCGGCGCAAGCCAGCCAACCATCACAGTGCCGGTGCCGACGGCGAACACCATCGCAAAGATGTCGTCGGCCACGCGCGCACCTGAGGACTCCAGCCCTCGATCATGAAGTAGAGTGCACCGTTTTCGGTGCCGGCGCCGGCGGCGCGCGCGCCGGCAGCGAGGGCGCACACGCCGAAGGCCGCCATGGCGCAGGCGGCGAGGAACATCATCTGCGCCGGCAGTTCGAAGGAGAGCCCCTCCTCATAGCTCTGCTGCTGCACGGTGACGTTCTCCATGATCGAAAAGTCGATCCGCGCGTATGACAGGTAGGCGCTCGTCACGGGGCAGGTCGAGCTGGTAAAGTCGGCCACCAGGGTCAGCACGAGCGCTGTGGAGGCGGCAGGCCGCGAGCGTGAGCGCACGGGCAGCTGGAAAGATGCGGGCCCGGTAGACAGAGACACCTGTGCCCACCAGCACGCCGAGCTGCAGCCGCGTCGGCAGCTGCGCCTGGATGCCGGACTCCTCGACCTCCTCGTCGTCCTCGTCGTCCCTTCGACCTCCGCGGCCGCCGCCGCCGCCGTGCCTTCTCCTCCGGTCGTCGTCGCGAGGCATCGGCTGAATCCCTCACCCCCCTAGCCGAAGAAAAAAGAAAATGCTCGATGGCTAGGCTCAAAAAGGCGAGTTCGCGCTGTGCGGCCTGCACCGCTCTAGCAAGAGACTCTAGGCTCTCTTGCCGAGATTTTATGTTCACTTTTTCTTGTTGCCCGCCGAAGTCACGAGTCGACTCCACCCATACCGCGTTGGTGTCCCAGTCGTTGGTCGGACTGTGTTTCGCCTTCCCATCAGTCATTCAATCAATCAAGTCGACTTTGTGTTTTGTTTGTTTGCGAGTTTGTTGTTGTTGTTTGCACGAGTCGCGCCCGCCGAAGTCACGAGTCGCCTCCAAGAAACCAATAAAAGGGCGCTGTCGCCAGTCTTCGGTGTTCTGAGTGAGCGGTGTGGACGGAGGCGTGTGCGTCTTGAGATTTTTTTTGAGCTAGACTTCGTTGTTAATAGGAACAAGCGAAGGCACACACGACATGACGCCAAACACACGATTGCACGCACCGCACCGCACCTCGCACCCGCGCCCGCCGCCCCCCCGACCCCCGCCCCGCCTAGACCAAACAACTCTAACACTCACTCGTCATTTGGGGCCTGGAGCCCTGTTCACGCGCGCGCGAGGCGTGCAGACAGGGTTGCCAGGTGAGAGCGAATGGCGCGGTTCACGCCTCGCACAACAGAGAGAGAGATGCGCTCTGCATGGTGGGACATAAAAGAGAGCGAGTACTTGGGCGAGTAGGCCGTGCGGTCAACGCTGCCGCGCGCGACTTTGCGCGCGAGGCGGCGCAGCTTGAGAACGGCGGTGGGCGAGTCAGAAGCCGCCGCCGAACGTCTCGTGGAGCAGCAGGTTGAAGTTGTTGCGCTTGACAAAGATCGCGTCGTGGTAGAAACCGCGATGCGCCTTGACGTAGCCGTGGCCGGTCTTGTGGGAGAAGGGTTGGCCGGGCTGCCCGCGCGCCTTGCAGCCCATGTTTAGGCGGCGGGCCTTCTCTTCGGTGTTGCCGAAGGCGTAGGAGTGGCCAACGGAGGCGGGCGTGCCGCCGCTCGAGGCGTTACCAACGCCCGCCGAGGAGGTCTTGAGGAGGGGCGTCCAGAGCTTGACTTCATTCACCTCATCGCATCCTCCCGGGCCAGCGTGGGGTTCCCCGCGAGGTCGACCTTGGACCCTTGTTGTTGTCTTGAGTCGGTGGCAGACTGGCTGGCGGCATCGTATCCGGGACCGCAGCTCACCTCTTCCGACTATCCGGGCCGGCTCTGACCTTTGACCCACCTTGCTTGGGAGTGAGAGAAACCACGGCGTGGAAAGGCTTAGAAACGGCGGCGTGCCGCGAAATCCTGTTTTCTCAATGCCCGCAACCCACTGTAGGCGATCTTATCTGTGAATAATCGACCCTCCCCTCCCCCGACAGTTGACTCCAGGCCTCACCCGGGGCCCTCCGGTCCTGGCCTTCCGGTTCGCCGGATGGCCCGCTGTCTTCCCACGGCACCTCCCCCCCCTCGGTCCCCTCGTCCCCTCCCCTGGGTACTCCAGCCTCCGAGCGAGCCCTTGTTTTATTTTTTTTGCTGACCGCCGAAGTCACGATTCTTGCACGCCGAGCACGAAAATCGTGTGTGAGAATCGAGAATCCAGCAAAATCCAGCCATGCCCGCTGTCGCCAGTGTCGCGCTGATCGTCGCCACGGCCGCCGGAGGGGCCGCGTACCCCACCGGGTGCGACGTCGTTGACTACGAAGACATCACAAATCACAGGAAGAAGTGCAAAGACGTCCCGGTCGACGGGCGGGCGTGCAGGGTCTTCATCTCCAAAGCGAACAAAATCCAGTACTGCGGGCTGCCGGGTTGGGGGGAACATTGCGTGAATGCCCCTCGACGCACCCTGCCCCTCGAGTGCGGCAAGGTCCCCGAAGGCCCCGCCGACGTCGGCCGGTCGTTCCGAATATCCACGCCCCCGTCGCCCACACAAATTCCGGCTCCACAAATTCCGCCTTTCCCTCCGGGGGCTCCGCCTCCGAGCCCTCCGTCACTCCCGCCGTACCCGCCCAGCAAGGCTCCGACGCCCCCGCCACGCTTTCCGCCCTCCCCGCCAGGGGCACCACCCTTGCCCCCCCCGGACGCACCGCCATCCGCGCCTCCCCTGTCGCCTCCGTCCGAGCCGCCGCCCTCGACGCCGCCCTCGCCTCCGTCACTCCCGCCGTACCCGCCCAGCAAGGCTCCGACGCCCCCGCCACGCTCCCCGCCCGCGCCGCCACGCTCCCCGCCCGCCCCGCCAGGGGCACCACCCTTCCCGCCCCAAGCAGCTCCAACGCCGCCCCCGCCCCTCCCGGGCGCACCGCCATCCGCGCCTCCCCTGTCCCCTCCATCCGAGCCGCCCTCGACATCTCGGAACTCGGAAGTGTCTCGGAACTCGGAAGTGTCGCCGCCATCCCAACCACCGCCATCGCCGCCTCC